AGAGAAACTGAAAGTGTTTGTCAAGATATGATTGTTCATGATGATTTGTTCCTGCCAGGCAAATAGCAATTACTGAAAAAGGTCAAGCAAACAAAAAATAATGACCACGAAGCTCTACAAGACTTATTATATAACAAGAAAATTGAAATAGTCAAAGAGTTCCCATGCCTTGGATCAAATACTGACCAGAATGGAGGCTGAAGTCAAGAAATCAAAAGACAACTAACAATGTGAAGGGCAGCGATGAAAGAACTGGACAAGATCCTAAAGTGCAAAGATATAACTCTAAACACTAAAGTGTGGATAGTCCAAACCATTATTTTCCCCATCACCATGTACAAGGGGAGTATCGTAAAGTTTTAATTATCACCTTTAAAATTTTTGACAGAAAGTTTGTTTTGATTTGTAGTTGTTAACTTTTCCCTACAGAGTCACCATCCAGATTTACACAATCCCCCCAGTGTTTCTTGACTTTCCAAATGCCTGGTATTGTAGAAGTCTGCAGATTGTGCCTTAAACCACTCTTTCCACTTCATGAATGATGTCATCTGTGTTGTTAAATTGGTGACCCCGCAACAGATTTTTCATTTCTGGGAACAAGAAAAAGTCACTTGGTGTGAGGTTGGGAGAATAAGGTGTATGCTGCAAGATCTCAAAGCCACATGCCTTTGCTTTGTTAACTGCAACTTGAAATGAGTTAGCTGGTGCATTGTCAGCTAGGAGACAAATGCCTCTGGAGAGCATACCGCAGTGTTTCTTTTTCAAAGCATCTCACAACTTATCCAGAAGACTGCTGTAGTGCAGGGGTAGGCAACCTTTCCCCTTTAAGGGCCGAGAGACTTCAGCTCCCAGAATCCCAGGAGCTATTGGCCAACATGGGACTATTGGCCAACATGACTGAGGCTTCTGGGAGCTGAAGTCCCTCGGCCCTTAAAGGAGAAAGGTTGCCTACCCCTGCTGTAGTGTGTGCCGGTGATGGTTTGTCCCTTAGTAAGGTAATCTGTGATAATGACTCCACGACAGTCCCCAAAAAGTGAGAGCATGACCTTCCCTGCTGCCTTTTGCACCTTTGCCTTTTTTGGGGGAGGGGAATCAGCATGCTTCCACTCCATACTCATGGTTTGGGTCGCTGGGTCATACTGATAGATCCAAGATTCATCCATGGTTACCAGACAACCAAAAAAATCCTCTTCATCCTGTTCCAACAGCATCAACATCTGTCTAGAAAAGTCATACCATGTTATTTCTGGAAAGGGGTTAGCAAACGTAGAACCCAGTGTGCAGATACCTTAGACATGTGCAGTTTGTCATGAATAATTTTCCACACACTACCATAACTGAGACCAATCATTTGGATGATTGCTCATCTGTCTTCCAGGATAAAACACTCTACTTTCTTCACTGTGGCCTCATTGTCCATCAATGATGGTCTTCCAGGACTTGGCTCATCTGTGAGGGACATGTGAGCAGTTTGGAAATTCCTTTTTCACTTCACAATAGTGTCATAAGATGGGCAATTGTTTCCATAAACTACCATCATCTCATCATGAATTTTCTGGGCACTATTACCCTTCAAATGCAGGAACTTTATCACACTGCGAGCCTCAATCTTCTCCATCTTACACCTTAAGTCACTTCTGGCACAACCTGTAACAAAAATAAAGGTCAATATCGTGCACTTAGGGATGAATGATGACACTGACAAAGTTTCATCAATACACCATAATCACTTCCGGGTGATAATTATTACGATACCCCCTATGGATGTGAGAACTGGACAGTGAAGAAAGAAAATCAACTCATTTGAAATGTGGTGCTGGAGAAGAGTGCTGAGGATACCATGGATGGCTAAGGAGTCAAACAAATGGTTCCTTGAACAAATCAAGCCTGAAGTCTCCCTGGAAGCCAAGATGACTAGATTGAGACTGTCATACTTTGGCCACGTCATGAGGAGGCATGATTCATTAGAAAAGACAACGATGCTGGGGAAGGTAGAGGGCAGTTGAAGGAGAGAAAGACTGCCAGCCAGATAACTGAACTCAATCAAAGAGACCAGAGGCATAAGCAGAGCAGTGGAAAACAGAGAGTCTTGGAGAAGTCTCATTCACAGGTTCACCATGAGTCGAGGTAGTCTCGAACAACAACAAACAAATAGTGCTCCTCTTTCAATTGTGACAGAAAGCCTTGTCTCCACTATACCACATGCTAAGCCAGATTGAGGAGCCTAGCATGCCTCAAAACACAGCTAGGCTCCAGGCGTGACACATAGATGCGAGTCTTACTTCCCCTAGCCCTCATTTTTATTGATAACCTTGAGTAAATACCCTTTAAATCTCTCTTCCATGCACAAACTCTCTATAAAGTTTAATCTCACAGGTTTCCTTGTTAGGATCAATGAAAGGAAGATTGAAAGCACTTTGTATGCTAATTGCTAATAAATTCATACATTAGTGTATTTTAATTCAGTTGTTTGCAAGTAGCATTGCACTGGGAATCAGGATTGAGAGCAGATGACCCTCAGCATTTCCCAGGATACTAGAAAATTACTTCAGCATTTTTCTTTTTAAAAAATTTTTAAAAATTACCAGCAGCAGAGAGCCTTTGAAAAAAAAAAAAGGAAAGAAAGAAAGTCTAATTTCTGCACTCTTTTATCTCCAACCTCCCTCTGAAATCTGTATCATTATAAATTATAATGAGATTTCAGGAGTGACCAGAATGATAATTGAATGGGTAGCTGGCATCTTGGATGTACAGCCTGATACTGAATATGTTCATCCAGGAGTCAAGGAAGGGCATGTGATGGAACGAGGGCCTTGATCAGAGGTCCTTAAAAAGTAATCTGTAAAATAATAATAATAATAATAAATACCCTGACAAATAGCAATTGAGTCTGGAAGGTGTGTATGTGTATATAATGAAGTGTGTACACCTACAACACTATCTTTTGAAATGCCCAGTATATATGCTCCCAAGACAAAAGTTCTTAGGTTATATCAATCCCTTTGCTAGTCACCCACCTCTTGTGCAAATTTTGTGTTTTATTAGCAGATGACAATATTGATATTACAGAGATGGTGGCAAAATTTGCTTTGGCTACAAGTAAGTTAGGAGCTAGATATCAAAACCATTGATTAAGGATTTTATTGTGTTGGCTTACCAGAATAATCCTTTACACTTGTTATACTTCTATACCCCTGGAAATTTATATTTTTTTCTTGTTCCATCATCTGCTTTTGTGCTAAATGTACTATCTGGTGTTTTATTTAAAGTATATGGAATTATGATGGCTTATAGCTATTAGCAATAAAGTTTCACTTCGCTTCACACAATGAAGGCTCCCACCCCAGTTGAAATCTTTCACCTAAAGCTGCTCTTATTCTGTTGGAATGAGGAGATAGATATCCCTAATCATATCCCTCAATGGACCTACAGGCAGCTCTTGGGAGGGAGGATTTTGCTTGGGGAGGTGACAGAGTCACTCAGAAATAATCCACTTTGCCACCACTTTTAAGTGTCATGGGTCAATGCTATGGGATTCTGGGAATGGTACTTTGTTGTGACATCAGAACTCAGCATGCATCTGAGGAAATAGGCTGAAGTTTATGAAAGCTCATGTTACCAACTTCTTTCTTTCAGTTAGTTTCAAAGGTGCTACAAGATCCCTTTGCATACTGATTTTCCAGACTATTAATAGCACTATACCTTTTAATTTAGATCTTCTAAGGCCTTGCCTCACTGGCCAATATAAGGGATGCATTGGCTTAAGTCAGGGGTAGGCAACCTTTCTCCTTCAAGGGCCGAGGAACTTCAGCTCCCAGAAGCCTCAGCCATGTTGGTCAATAGTCCCATGTTGGCCAATAGCTCCTGGGATTCTGGGAGCTGAAGTCCTTCGGCCCTTAAAGGGGAAAGGTTGCCTACCCCTGCTTAAGTGGTTAAGATGCTCACTCTGTTGATTGCAAGATTGGCAGGTTGGCAGTTCGAGGCCCGGGTGCTGCATGATGGGGTGAGCTCCCATCACTAATCTTAGTTTTTGCCAACCTAGCAGTTTGAAAGCATGCAAATGCAAGTAGATAAATAGGTACCACTTTGGTGGGAAGGTAAACAGTGTTCTGTGCAACCATGCTGGCCACAGGATCACAGAGTAGTCCCTGACAATGCTGGCTCTTCAGCTTAGTAACGATGAGCACCGCCCCCTATGGTCAGACACGACTTGACAACCTTGTCAATGGGGAATACCTTTACCTTAAGGCCTTGTCTCACTGGCCAATATACTCTGGGGGAAGCCTGGAGTACAGGTGATAGAAAGAGAACCAACTCATTTGAGATATTGTGCTGGAGAAGAATGCTGCTGAGGATACTGTGGACAGTTGATGCTGGCCATGTCAGATGTTGTCCAGACTGCTTGCACTAGAACTGGTGTTTGAGCTGTGCATCATCCAAACACAATGACACCAGAATAAGGGGAAAATAAACATTTTGGCTTGTGCAGACAAGGCCTTACATCATGTGCATTTCATTCTCAGTTCCATTATTTTCATGGGTAAATGTGCACAGGATTACCATTTTATGTAGCAGGCCTAAATGTACTTAACTAGGGAAGAAAGAAGTCCCATTAAAGACTGTGGGACTTACTTCTCAGTAACCTTACTTAGAATTATACTGCTAAATAAAAATAAAATCAAATGTTACTGGAATGCCTTTGAAGAGGACAAAAACTAAGCTATTCCATTCTGTCTGATCATTATGTAACATGACTGTTAAGACTGACTTATCACTGCAAAAGAAAGCACATCAGTTTAATGAGACAAAAACGGTCACTAAATGATGATAATGGTAGAAAATAAGAAAAATAGCTCAGAAATAAGACAGTAGGCTTTGTTGAAAATACACTCCTCGCACTCAACTTGAAAGTAAGCATTACATCAAACTTCTCTCTTCTCAAAGTATTAAATGATAATGAGTAAATAAATGGGCCTAAATGGTATGTTAATCTCAACTAAGCCAGAACAGTGTAGTGGTTTGAGCACTGGACTTGGACTCTGGAGATCAGGATTCGATTCCCTGCTTGGCCACGGAAACTCACTGGGTGACCTTAGGTGCATCATGCCATCTCAGTCCCAGAAAACCCTGTGATCAGTTTTCCTTAGGGTCTCCATAAGTTGGAAATAACTTGAAAGTCCACACAACAACAACAGCAGCAAATGCTAGACTCATAGGAACAACTGGATTTTCCTCCCTAAATTTTATTAATAAAACTTTAGAACATACATTCATTCTGCACATAAACAACATTTTTGGCTTATTATTATTCCGCAATTATAGGCACCTACTATATACCAACAACAAATTTAATTATACAAATGTTCTTAAATCTTGAGTCCAATGAGGGTATCTTGATTATAGCAATATCACGCTTAACAGTCCTTCTATTCATCACTTTCATCCTTTTCTTTCCCCTACTCTCTGGATTTTTGATTCACCTTTCATTGATCAGTGGGGATACTCAATTTGGGAGTAACAAACTGGATTCTAGTAGAGCTGCCAGGTTGGATATGGGACAGGGCTCCTATCATTTTAATCCTCAACAGATCATGGAGCAGAATGATATACCATAAAGCTCTGTCAAGACAAATGAAGATGCCTGTCCTCCCCGACTTTCCAAACCTGAAATTTCAGCCATAGCTATCCCCTCTCAATATGACTATCATCTCACCAGTGGCAGGGGAGAGGGGTGTGGAAGAGAGTCCAGGTTTGGTTTTGTCACCAGTGTCTCTGTGACCCCTTCATCCACTGCTAGGGAAGCAATAGGTGTGTTGGAAGGAGAAACTGCACTTAGGGCAAAATAAATAAATAA